GAAAGAACAAAGAAAGGGAGAGCAGAAAACTCAGAGGACAAGTTAAAACATTGTTCTCGACGAGGAGATAACCTATAACTTGGAATTTCGGTCCCGGGTCTCTGTATGATAAACTTCTTTTTAAAAAACGTTTTTGTGGCGGTGACGTCCTCGCAGAGCCTTGGAGGACACACTGGTGTGGGAGCACCGGGAGCTGGGTGATAAACACGCCAGGAACAAATTCGGATTCAGGCATTGTATTTTGTGTCATATGGTACGCCTAAGGTTTTCAAAATCCCAACAACCTTTATTTCCACTTCAAATCGCCATTCCACGAATAACTACTTGAGGTTGGGGTTTTATGTTTTGCTTCGTTGGCGTGTGTGTGTGTACATGCTTTATTTTTGTTTCTGAGTTTGTTTACTCTTTTTTTTTTTTTTTTTTTTTTTTTTTTTTTTTTTTCCGCTATCAGATGATAAATGTCTCTGGGAACGAAAAAGCACAAGGCGAGAAACCCAGGAACTGTCGGCGGTCTTGGCATAAGCTCGAAGAGCCGGGCAGGGCAGAATAGGAGCATGTTAGATCCGTTTGTGAACACTGAAGTTCCCTACATCCATACTTTAAAGAGCTTTGTCCAGTGTCCATTTACTTTACCTCCGTAGCCCCTTTTCGCCCTGCAGCCTATGCAGATTCTCCTTCTTCCACAAGAGAAGCTGGGAAGAAGGCAGTGGTACTTCCTGGGTGCCCGGCCCCAGAGAAGGCTCCCCAAGGCTTTCAAACAGCCTTCTGGCCTGGAGGCTTTCGCCAGAAAAGAAATAAAATGGTTCCAGTGACTCACCTGGTGTTTTTCAGGCGGAGGCTGACCTCGGTGGATCCGCATTCGAGTCTCTGTCCGCATTTATTGGGTGTCTGGAGTGTTACAGCTCAGCGCGGTGACTCATAGGGTTTCTAAAAGTAAGACACCAAGAAAGAGGTATCATCACCAACACCATCACCGTCACACTCCCGGGTGGAAGGCTCCGCGGGGCTGAGGGCTCGGGGACCCGGATCGAGCCCCGGTGCCTCGACGGGAGGAATATGGGGAGCATGCGAGGACTTCCCTGCCATTTGGTTAGAGAAGCATCTACTGGACTTCAGTAAATATGGCTCCTAATCTCGGAGTTTTAGGGCTGGATGGCCTTTAGCATTCTATTCAAACAGAGGGGGCTGCCCTTCCCTTATCTACCTCATTTCATTTCCAGTGAGCCCTCCTAGAGCTTGTCCTGTCCGTCTGCGAGGGGGGACTTCCTCCCTCCCCTCTCCCACCTCCGTCTCTCCTTCTTTCCCCGCAAGCTTAAACCAATTACGCCGCTTTGCAAATAAAGTGCCGCCCCGAGGGGAGCCGCAGGCGAGGGGAGCTGCCTCGCTGGCAGGTGCATCTCCGGCTTTGTAGGTGCGAACGCCTTTGTGAGGCGGACAAATGGGGAGAGGAGGAGGAGGGTACTTTGTGCGACGTAAGATCCACATCAGCTCAACTCCACTCACATCCCAGCCGGCACTTCCTCACTTTCTCGACTGTCTCGCCCCGCACCGCTCCCTGCCTCCTTTTTGACTTCATTATAGAGGAGATTTCGGCACTCCCGCCCCTCCTGGGAGCTGGCTTCCTGCTAGGTCGGCCTCCTGGGCTCTTTTCCTGCCACCCGTCGCTCGCTTGCAAGAGGGCTGGATGGTTACACCGGGCAGGTTGGTTCCATAATGTTAGGGACTGTGAAAATGGAAGGGCATGAGACCAGCGACTGGAACAGCTACTACGCCGACACGCAGGAGGTGAGCGAGCCCCGGGTCTGCTGTCCCTCCGAGGGGGAGGAGAGGGGCCGGGGGAGGGCCGGGGTGCGGAGGGGGGCAGCGAGAGGGGGGATCGCTTCGCGCTGCGGCTCCCGCCAGCGCCATCGTGTCTCTCCTGGCCAAGCCGCCCCGAGGAGCTCCTCACCGCCCGCAGGAGAACCGGAGGGGCCGGGGGCAGCGCGGAGCTCACCCCAGAGAGCTCCTGGCTCGGAGCAGGGGACCGCCGCGTTGCCGTCCCGCTCCCCACTGCATATGGCACGGGCACAGGGCGCGCCGGGCCGAGGGCAGCACACTCCCCACGCCCCCCCTCCCCACCCTCCCTTGGGGCCCCACGCTGCTGGCTGCCGCCGGGGCCTCACCTGTTAGAGCCGAGAGAAAAGAAAGGAAGAAAAAAAGAATAAATCGCCGTTTGTTCGGATCTTGCGAGACAGCCCGCCCGCGGTGGGCTCTGCTGCCCAGATACCGGCGGGCGGCGCTGCGGAGAGCGGCAGGGGAACCCGGAGGGGGCCCGGCCCGGCCGCCCGCCGCCGACCCGCGGCACCCGGCAGCCGCTTCCGGGCCCCCCCTGTGCTCCGGCGTGGTGCGAGAGGAGCGGCCCGAAGGCCGTTAGGAGAGGGCCGGGGAGCGCCGTGATCCAGGCCCCGATACAGCCTGGCCTCTGCGGGGGTTCGCGGGGGAAGGCAGCGGGGCACCACCGCGGAAGAACCGGGAGCGGTGCCCGGGCAGGAGCCGCTTTAAGGAAGTGCGAGAGCCGCGAGGTGCACACCGGCATTGCATCAGCGCACCCGGACACGGCGCCGTCCCCACGCCTGCAGGGCCGCACAGCGCTGTGTCACCCCACGGCCACCCCGTTGCCACGCCACTGTCACCTCGCTGCCACCCCCTCAGCGGGGAGAGCTCAGAGCAAAGGGGGGCATCCCCGTGGGGTGTCAGCACCGAGCTCGTTTTTCCTTGCCACGCTCATTGTCCACGCACCTTAAGTTACACGACCTGCCCTTTTGCTGTTTTTTAGCCCCGCTCTTTTCTCCTCCAGTGCTATTGAACTGGAATCTCTGTTAGGGTGAGAGGTGGGAGCCCCGACGCTTTGAGCCCTCTCGGATAGTTACTGAGATCCTTCAAATTCAAACCGCATTGAGAAGTTCGCAGAATTTGTAGGGAATAATGGGGAATGTTACAGAGCGCTTAACCCGCGCCTAACAACCTTTCCTCGGCCGCGTTGCCTTTGTTCGAGGTGAACGGGAACGCGTTTCGCAGAGCCCTTCTCCCTCGTGTGAAATCAGATGCGGGCCCGGAACATTTTGGGGCTCCAGGTTCTGCATTTTGTGAGAGCGGTGAGGAGGGATCGGGCTGCAATACCCCACGTTGGGGGCTACAGAGAATCCCGTGCAGCGGGAGCCGGAGCTCGGCGTGCTTCGGAAAGGCTGGGGTGGTGGGTTTGAACTTTAAGCCCGACTCGGAAATGCGAACAGGGGCAGCTTTCCACAGGTACGATGTGCAGACAGAGCTGATGATTTTTTTTCCTAATGTTTTTATTTTTATTTGTGACAAGACACTATCTGTAGGAACAGAAATATACATCAGCGCGGAGGGAAAGGTTCGTGCGGTTATTCCGGGAAAGTTTTCCCTGGCACACCGGCGTGCGCCTGTAGATTGCAGTAATCGGACGGATTCAAACACGGGACACGGAGCCCGCAGAGCCTCGCAGCACTCGGGGCGGCCGAGCTGGGGCTCCGCGGTGCCGGGGCTGGGCTCGGCGGCACCGAGCGGTCTCTCCCCGTTCCCGTCACGAGGATTCGGGCTCTCGGCGATCGTCCTGGGCGGGTTCGGAGGCTCTGCAGTGCCGGGCTCCATGCTAACCCTCTCTCGTCTCGCTGCCCTAGGCCTATTCCTCGGTGCCTGTGAGCAACATGAACTCGGGGCTGGGCTCCATGAACACCATGAACACCTACATGAGCATGAACACCATGACGACCAGCGGCAACATGACCTCCGGCTCCTTCAACATGTCCTACGCCAACACGGGGCTGGGAGCCGGGCTGAGCCCCGGAGCGGTCGCCGCCATGCCGGCGGGCTCTGCGGGCGCAGTGAACGGGATGACGGCCGGCGTGGCGGCCATGGGCGCGGCGCTGAGCCCCGGAGGGCTGGGTGCCATGTCGGGGCAGCCGGCCGCCATGAACGGACTGGGCCCCTACGGCGGCATGAACCCCTGCGTCAGCCCCATGGCCTACTCGCAGTCCAACCTCGGCCGCACGCGGGACGCCAAGAGCTTCAAGCGGAGCTACCCACACGCCAAGCCGCCCTACTCGTACATCTCGCTCATCACCATGGCCATCCAGCAGGCGCCCAGCAAGATGCTGACGCTGAGCGAGATCTACCAGTGGATCATGGACCTCTTCCCCTACTACCGACAGAACCAGCAGCGCTGGCAGAACAGCATCCGCCACTCGCTCTCCTTCAACGATTGCTTCGTCAAGGTGGCCCGCTCCCCAGATAAGCCCGGCAAGGGCTCCTACTGGACCCTGCACCCCGACTCCGGAAACATGTTCGAGAACGGCTGCTACCTCCGCCGCCAGAAGCGCTTCAAGTGCGAGAAGCCGGCGGGCGGCAAGGCCCCGTCGGAGGGCCGCAAGGACCAGACGTCCGCCTCGGGCTCCGGCTCTCCCCTGCCCCGCGCCCACGGAAAAGCGGCGCAGCCCGACGCCGCCGCCTCCCTGCCCGGCCCCAACCCGGCCGCCAGCCCCCAGCCCATGGACCACAGCGGCCCGAGCGCCGAACTGAAGCCCTCGGCCCCGGCCGCCGCCTCCTCGCTCGGCTCCGTGCCCGCCCTGGCATCCGTCCCGCACCCCCCGCACTCCCTGGCCCACGAACCCCAGCTGCACCTCAAAGGGGACCCCCACTACTCTTTCAACCACCCGTTCTCCATCAACAACCTCATGTCCTCCTCGGAGCAGCAGCACAAGCTGGACTTCAAAGCCTACGAGCAGGCGCTGCAGTACTCCTCGTACGGGGCCGGCATCCCCGGCGGGCTGCCCCTGGGCGGTGGCTCCATGGCGGCCCGCGGCAGCATCGAGCCCTCGGCGCTGGAGCCCTCCTACTACCAGGGGGTGTACTCCAGACCCGTGCTCAACACCTCGTAGCTCGCTGTCTCGGGGCGCACGCCGTGCACAGGACTGTTACTTCCCGATGGCCGTGCGCTGTCCCTGTCCCGCACCCC